CGAAAATAAGCCGAATTGCCCACCCGTACTTCTATGTATTAATTGAGAAGAATATTCACAAGAAAAATTATGTGTCAAGCAAAAAAAAATTTAAGAGACAAATCAATTAAATTAATCAATCAAAACAGTCTAATTAGTTTTACATGCCATGTTGGAAATCTCTACATATTTATAATATTTTTTTAACATAAATTCACAAGAGAAATTTCAAAAAATGCCATTTTTCAAGTGCCACTTTTCAAAAATGCCACATTTTCAAAATCTTTGCAAAAATGTCACTTTTCAAAAAAAAATTCATTATATCATTTATGTTTGGGTTAACTATGTTGTATTAGGGTTTAGTTTTGAGGGTTTAAGGGGTTTTAGGGGTCAAAATATTTTTTAGGGTTTCTAATTTTAAGATTTAGTGGCATTTTTGCAAATGTACACTCCAAAAGTAGGATTTTTGCAGTTGCCCCACAAAAAAAATACATGTATAGCAAATTTGAATCTAACTAAAATCTAATATTTTAAAATATTAAAATGTTATATAACATAATGTTTAGCAATGAATTATTTACCAAAGTCAATTATTTTATAAAAATTATATTTATGCCTATTTGAATACCATATGTGATTGATCATACAACTATTTTTTTTTATATCATCCATATTACTCTAATTAACGCTGCGTTGTTATAAACGTACAACTTTACTAATCAAACATTAATGCTTGAATTTCGAAAATCATCATTTTGCACTTTTAATTATTTTCTGATTTTTTATTTAAAAGATTTTCATATATTAACGTGATATTTTTTAAAGTTTGGTGAGTTCAAATAATTTCGAAAGAACCCATAATCTCAAAAGTATTCGATTTACATAAAAAAGACACTTACATTCAATCTAAATATCAAGTAAATTAAGTTTTGTAAGATAAATATATTTATCTATATAGGAAATATATCATCTAATATTTGTTGTTTCTAACTATTTCTATATATTGTAATATTCTAGTCCCGCGGTAAAAAAATCCAGTTGACAAATTTAAAAACAAAATACGGACTTTGGGGGCCCCATATTTGGGCCTTTTCATTTCTGATGACTTCTTCAAATAAGATATAGGCCCATTAAGGGTCGACCCATAATTGCCCTAAACAAAGTGCTAATTCTACTTCTTAGTAATATATGTATTCACCTCACCCGAACTAATTTATTAATGTATCACATGCACGTCTAAGCTATATTCCAACACATGCAAGAATATTATAACACCAAAGTGCTCTTGAACTAAGAAGCAAAAAGAAAAAAAACTAAGCATTGTTCCTTAGTCAACTTCTCTTCTTCTACCTTTTTACATCTCTTTATGTAATGATTACAATTCGTCAAGGACGGAACAATTTGATGGCGCAGGAAGAATTCTTTTTCGGAAGCTAAAACCCCTGGCGCATGTTAGTAGGGTCCCTTTAGT